TCCTTCACTCGTCCATTTCCATTCCCATTGACCATTTTCTTTCCTTTGAAATTCGCCGAAATAACAAATTGGGACACACGCTTTTGCCATATCTGCATTACGAATTAAAAATATCAGAACAAATTATCAGAAATAAAATTATCAGAATCGAGGGGCGGGGGAGTCTGCAAACGGACGGTCGGGACGGTCCGGACAGTCGGCAATGGGCGGTCGGGACGGTCTGGACCGTCGGCAACGGGCGGTCCGGACCGTCGTTAAATCCGGCGTTTCGGTGTCTGATCGGTGCCGGCCTGAACTTTGGCTCTAATATTATTTTTTCTACCATTTAAAAAAAATATACGACTTAAATAAAAATAAAATTAAATACTACGAAAAGATACTTACCGAATTGAAGTGCTGAAATTTAACTAAATTTTTCTGTTGAGGTTGATAACTGATAAGTTTATGAAATTTTGAGGTTGAAGTGGATGAAAAATGAAAGAGTTTTTATCGTGTTAGAGTAAACTGATGAAAAGACTGACTTCGTTTTCAAATTTCAATTGAGATTTGTTTGGATTTTTATTTGTAACTTAAGGATATTTTTGTCTTTTTACCATATTTCTATTTTTGTAATTATATAACTCATTTAAGGGCGTTTTTGTCTTTTACACAAGGAATGGCTATTGTGGTGAATGTTAGATTTTTATGGTTAAAATGGAAAATGATTGGTTTGACAAAGCCAAACTTAAAAGTACCCCGGTTCTGGACAATATTTTAGGAAATAAAAATTGTGGAAATTACACCTACCCAATATTTTAAGATGCACAATTCACAAAACGGATGTAATTTTTTTTTTCAAAATCAGATACTTATTAATCTTTTAATATTATAAAATTAAATTAATTAACCTAAAATTTTAAACCAAAAATTTTCATCCTCTTCTCCATCTCTCTCCCATCTCCCGCTCTCCCTTCTCCACTCTCTCTTTGTCAACGACATAGCCACGTGCCACTCTACAAGAAGTTATCAGTACCCATCATCGTCATCATGTGCCACCATTGCCTCTGTTCTCTCTCCTACATTCTCTACTCGTCAATGTTGACCTCGCGCGCACTATGATTGCGAGAAGCAGCCTTCGTCAGTCGCTACGTGCAGCTCAAAGCAACACCATGCTGCTCACAAGTTGCTCCCTTGCATGCTACCGAGAACTCCAATGTATTGAGTTTTGTTGGTTGCGATATGGAGAAAATTTGGTCAAGATCTTATTGTGATCTGGTGCCAAAAAATTTGGGTTGAGGTTTGTTGGTTGTGTATAGCTTTGGTGGTGGCTGTAGTGGTGGTTTGCGGTGCTCTAAGGTGGTGGTGCTAGTTATTTTTTGGTAGAGGTGAAGGAAATGATTGATTTAAAGTGGTTGTGTTGGTGATTGTTGAAACAGGCAGTGGTGGCAAAGAGAGGACGTCGAGTTTGGGGATTTTTTGAGGTGGTGTGGCAACAATGGCGATGACGTTGAGTTTGGGGATGTAGGTGTGGTGGAAATGGAGATGGTGGTTTCAATTCTTGGTACAGGTGATGATGCTGGTAGTTCTAATTGTGATGTTGGTGAGATGGTGGTGGCGATGGCGGTGATGGTTTTGTTGGTGTTTTGGGCGACAATTATGGTCTTGCGAGGTCTGGTGGTGGTAATGGTAATAGTAACGGTGGTTGTGGTAGTTGTGGGTGGGATGAGATGGGGTTGGATGCTTCTGACCAGTCATTAGATTGATTGTGATTAATAATTGGTTAATTTGTAATATATAATTTAAAAGCTGTGAATGTGACTCACAATTGATTAAGTTGTAATCGAAAAAATAATCGTGACCAATTAATCAAATAATTTGTAATCAAAAAATGAGTTGTGACCAATAAAAGTTTTGATTCTGTAATCGATGAATAATTTATGACCTATAAAATTTTTGATTTGTAATCGAAAACTAATTCGTGATCTATAAAAAAAATTATTTGTGATCGAAAAATAAGTTGTGACCAATAGTTTGATAAGTTGTGACTAAAAATTAATATGTGACTAGTTAGTTAGATAACTGTGACCAAATGATAAAGAATTGTGAACTCAATATATTTAATTAGTAAAATATTTGTTTAATAAATTATTTCATAAATAAAATTTTAAATATTTGATTTTTAAAATTTGAAACTATGTTTTCTTAATTTTGAAATGTGCTATATTTAATCTCTTATTTGTCATTTTTTCCCATAAAAATTTTGTACTGTTCAATTTTGTACTCTGTATCAAACGTGACCAGTATTAATATTATTATATTGTTGTAATTTGTGGTGAAATCTTTTTGAATTGGTGATTTGGTCCCTTAATTGCATTGGCTCTTTTTGGTCCCTTAATTGCATTGGCTCTTTTTTCTCTCGTGGCTGAACTAAGTGGTCACTTGAAGCCCTAATTCATCCCCATTTCTGTTTGTTAAATTTTGTTTCATCAATTTTTGAGTCAATCTTTACTGACAAATTTTACAATTCCCTTTATTAGAGAACTAATTATATTTAAATGTGTATTAGATTTGAAGGAGGTTTTTCGGTTCTTCCGTAATTTCCCATCATCGTAAATCTAATAAATAAGGACGGGAATCTTATACTAATTAAGAGGAACACCAATCTTGAAGAGGAAGTTTTTTTTTCCATAATTCCCCATCATCGTAAATCGAATAAATAAGGATGGGAATCTTATACTAATTAAAAGAAAAGCCAATCTTGAAGAGGAAGTTTTACATAAGGAAGTAGAAGAGATCGTAGAATTCATAGAGCTTTCATATTTGGTAGACAATATGTTTAGGGTAATAATTCTTCTCTCAAATCTTTTTCTGTAAGATAACGTAAGAGATTTGAGTGTATATAGACATCAGATGACTCTAATACAATCATGGAAATGAATTCATAATCAAGGTATTCCCAACCCACACACAAGGCCCTCCATCGACAAACAAGAAAGAGCTTGGAATCTCATAATTATGGTTTACCCAAGTTGAATCTTTTGTTCTTTGATCTCTGATGTCGAAGTTTTTAAAGAAAGTAATTACAAAATATACTAAACAATATAATAGAAATTCACAAACAGGTTGATAAACAATCCATTTATCTTTATAATATTTTGCTCGTGTCTATTCACAAATCTTGATTAAAATTCTTTAATTGGTTTTGTTATGAGAATGACATTTGAAAGCCTTTTACAAAATCTTGCTATTAATGGCGTTACAATGTTAACTTTACTCATTAAGTTTGTACGTGATGAATATGTAGCGCTGTAGTCATGTGTAGGTGTAGCCTTGCACACATCTGACTCCTTTGGTAAAATTCACTTATGCGGACGCGGTTTTTTTTTCTTGTGGGCTCCACTACTATTATTTATAGCCCGACGACCATTTTCCAGTTGCATAACTGAAAATTATTGTTTCTTCAGTTACCTACTCAAGATTTGGTGGGTCGGTTAATTGGGAAAATGCGGATCAATCCTCAAATGGGGGACTGCAATAAAGGTGAATCAGAAGGGGTTAACAGATTAGAATCTGATCGTCCACTTATGGCTTTAAGAGAGTAAGTCAATGGATATTTCATTTGATTTCCTCGTGTACCTATACTCGAGTTGTATGCATTTTGTGGCTCGATTTGGAAAAGTAAGTTAATAACTGATATGGGTTCTGCTCAGTTGCTTTGGATTGTTGTTGAATTTGCTTAATGTCTTATGGAAATTTTCCCTTGTATATGTGAATTTCGTTGCTAAATTTGCAAAAATTAGTCAAGAACTGGGTCTGCTTAGTTGCTTTGGGTGGTTGTTGAGTATGCTTCATATTTGGCATTTATGTTGATTGTTTCTTGTTCTACATGGCAATATTCCTTGAGGTTGTTTCTCCGATCAAATTTTGGACACACTCTTCTCCTTCTTCATTTTTTTTTTTTGTATTTATTTATTTGTTTAGTTTTTGTTAACAGAGAAGCTGAGCAACTAGATATGTTTCCATGGAAGTAACTCAACAGTCAACATTTATTTTGTTTGATTTCCTTGTATAGCTTTTTGAGTTTTATATATGCATTTCATGGTTCAATTTGGAATATTAAGTTAAGATTTGATACGGGTTCTGCTTAGATTATTAGACTGTTGATGAAATTGCATTATGTTTGGTATTTTATTTTGATTATTTCTTGTTCTTTATGGCAATTTTGCTCTTTTCTTTACCTCTTCTCTGCTTTTAGGTATTCGATCGCTTTTGTGGAGAATTGTATTAGGAAAGTGGGGATCTATTCTTTTGTGCAAGATATAAAACCCGTTATGGATGATTTAATTCGGAAGGTAAGTGCTGACAATGCATTTTCTGATGATATCTAGATATACCTTTATGGATGATTTGCCTTTAATTTTTTTTTCAGAACCAAACACGTTTGGCAATTTTTGGTGCGTTTAAGCTTAGCTACACATGCTAATTGTTGTTACCATAGTTGTTGTATTTAAAAGAAAAGTGGTTGAATTGTAGATTATCATTATCATGCAAACGTTTATTCGTCTAATAATAATATAATATATATTTGTTCATTAGACACTTCTTTATCTCAGTGAAAAAGTTTGCTAATGAATTTTCCAATTTCTTTCCAGAGAATCGATAAGATTCAATTGGCAGAAGAAAAGTCGGTTTCCCAGAATTGGTGAAGACTTAATAACACGTTCATCATTTATGTTTATATACGCGTGGACGCCATAGTTCTTATCTCATTCACACACATTGTTATGTTTTATATTTAGGAACTCTATAGACAAGACAACCACTCCGATACCAAGAGTTTATAAGCTGAAATTCTTAGACAAAGTGTCTGATCCAGTTTATATAGGGACGTTAATTAAAGGAAAAGAAGGTACTGACATTAAAGTTGCTCTATTCGATGATGTAACCGAGGCTATTGTTGACTCTGGGCCTGAATCCTCAGCAACGGTGGAGATATTATTTCTTGATGCAGTTGTTGAAGACTTCAACAATAGCATTATTATAGAAAACAATAATCCTTATTTTCGTAAACCTATCCGTGTTAATCTGGAGAAAGGCATTGGTATTTTGCCTACGAATATCAAGTTAGGACACAATTCTCAGTGGATAAAGCGCTGCCAATGCAGACTAGGGGCAAGAGTTGAGCAAACATTTGATGGAAGTAGAATTAAAGAAGCATCGACAGAGTCATTTACGGTCTTAGACAGACGCAGCAAATGTAAGTAGCTCACTTTGATTTTATTACTAACCATAAGAATTTATTACTCTACACATAAAATGGCGACGAGAAGAAGTTCACATATATATGCTAAAACACATTAATGAAAAATAAACCTTGCCTTTCCAAGTCCAATATGGTTGAAGTGACAGATAATTATATCACTTCTGCACGATTAGGACTTCATTTAAAGGCATCGTCAATGAGATTATATACGACATTACACAGCTTTACCTCTTGTCGATTTCTCTTGATGAGATACACAAGGCAAGTTATATGGCTTTATCCATTCTCACACAAAAAATTACAGTTCATGCTACCGTATTGCACACGTTCAAAGTAATTTTTCGTTCTTTTCTTTTCCCTTTTTTCTTTCTTTTTGTTGTTTGTGCAGTTTCTCGTTTTCTTTGCCCACCGCTGCCCTTGCGTCAATGCAAATCATATTCGTAACTAAGATAGAAACCCCGGTGCTCTTTTATTTAAGTAGCTTTACACGTCAAAATAGGTCAGACAAAGAAGGTAAATCATCAAAATTCCAGTTCATTTGATTGATAATTTCTAAAGGAGGATACTGAATTATCAGTATAACTGCTGGTTTCTATTTGCAGTGTACAAGAAGCACGAGCAACCATCTCCTTCTGATAAAGTGTGGAGATTAACAAACATTAGCAAAAATGGTGCTCGACACAATCGTTTGCGTGAGAATAACATTTCTACAGTACAGGAATTTCTGTCTTTGCTCTCTGTTGATCCTCAGAGGCTTCAGAAAGTATTACTCATTGCGCTATCCTCTTTCATTTACTCTTTCCGCGAATATTACTCATGCAATTAGTTTGCTTGTTCTATTTTCACATACGAAGTAAAAAAGACTTCAAAATTTGGTTGCTGATGTTGCTTGTTTTTGAAGTTGTATGTTTGTTTATATTTGAACTTTTAGTAAAGCACTCCATTCGTGTTATTCATCCTCTCTGCTCTATAGAAGCATTGTAGTGGTTAACTGGTAATTTTCTGCATCGTGAAATTAGATTCAACGAAATTTGTCTCATTTATGATGATATATTTCTCTATGTTGCCAAAAAAGGTAGTTGGAAGTTTTTGCATAGTTGAACAATCTAGTATAATCAATTTGAAGTTGATTATTAACATGGAGTCCAAGAGTTAGTCACTGAGGTGGCTGCACAGCTGAACCATATCTAATTCAATAGTACGTATATATACGGGGGATGTACATCTGACTTGACTCGTTATATTTTGGCATAAGAATCAATAAATTTACTTTGGACGTCTACAGATATTTCGTGCAGGTCCTCGGATATGGGAGGACACAGTGGATCATGCTCGTAAGTGCTCTTCTTCCTCTGAATGTAAAAATCGGGTGGTTTTTGATGTGGGACAACAGAAAGGGGCACTGCCTAACGACAGTTGTGTTCCAATTGACAGTGTAGCTGACGCTGAAATGGTCTGCCTTTCTTGAATCAAATTTCTTGCTCATTCTTTGTAGGGTAATAAATTAATTCTCCATAGTTATATCTAACTGATTTAGAGTCATTTTATACAGGACGATGCATGGAAGTCACCATCACCTGCATTTGAAAATCAGAGTGAAGCACCTGCATTTGAAAATTTGAACATTATGGCCTCTTTCAATGGTGAAACTTCTTCTCTGCATAATTTTCCATCAACATCCAATGATAAGAATGCCACCAACTCTACCGGACTGAACGGCCATTTGGGCCAATATTTAGAAAATGAAGAAATTTCGAATGAACAGACTTTCGAGTCTCCGGACAATGGCTCAAATTCGTTAGAAAATTCGAACAATATGGCCTCTTTCAATGAGGAAGATTCTTTTCAGCCTAATCTTTTGTGCACATCCAATGATGAGAATGCCGCCAACTCTACCGGACTGGATGGTCATTCCGGCCAATATGTTGAAAATGCAGAAATTTCGAATGAACAGATTTTCGATTTTCTAGACAATAGCCCAAATTCATTCCAAAATTTGAACGATATGGCCTTTTTCGATGATGCAGATTCTTCTCGGCGTAATTTTTCGTGCACATCCAATGATGAGAATGCCGCCAACTCTACCGGACTGAACGGCCATTTGGGCCAATATTTAGAAAATGAAGAAATTTCGAATGAACAGACTTTCGAGTCTCCGGACAATGGCTCAAATTCGTTAGAAAATTCGAACAATATGGCCTCTTTCAATGAGGAAGATTCTTTTCAGCCTAATCTTTTGTGCACATCCAATGATGAGAATGCCGCCAACTCTACCGGACTGGATGGTCATTCCGGCCAATATGTTGAAAATGCAGAAATTTCGAATGAACAGATTTTCGATTTTCTAGACAATAGCCCAAATTCATTCCAAAATTTGAACGATATGGCCTTTTTCGATGATGCAGATTCTTCTCGGCGTAATTTTTCGTGCACATCCAATGATGAGAATGCCGCCAACTCTACCGGACTGAACGGCCATTTGGGCCAATATTTAGAAAATGAAGAAATTTCGAATGAACAGACTTTCGAGTCTCCGGACAATGGCTCAAATTCGTTAGAAAATTCGAACAATATGGCCTCTTTCAATGAGGAAGATTCTTTTCAGCCTAATCTTTTGTGCACATCCAATGATGAGAATGCCGCCAACTCTACCGGACTGGATGGCCATTCCGGCCAATATGTTGAAAATGCAGAAATATCGAATGAACAGATTTTCGAATTTCTAGACAATAGCTCAAATTCATTCCAAAATTTGAACGATATGGCCTTTTTCGATGATGAAGATTTTTCTCTGCGTAATTTTTCGTGCACATCCAATGATAAGAATGCCGCCAACTCTACCGGACTGGACGGCCATTTGGGCCAATTTTTTGAAAATGAAGAAATTTCGAATGAACCGCGTTTCGAGTTTCCATTCAATAACCCATATTCATTCTCCGATGCTTTGCCTCTCTGGAATTTTGATGATAGGTTGGAATAGATAAGAGATGTTACTTTGATAACATGTTGTTTCAATTAATCTATTTTAGAATATTTTACATCCCAAAGAATTAATTGAATGAAAATTGGAATTTAATTGTTGTTTTAAAAAATTTCTCCAGATGAGCAAATTCTTTGGTGCAATTAATTCTAGTTGAGGTATTGCTTTTAAGGACTGGAAAATTCAAGTTGAAAATTAGGTTGACCTTAAAATAAAATATTTAAGAACTGATAATGGTTTTGAATTTTGCAATTATGAATTTGATAATCTTTGTAAAGAATATGACATCATGAGACATAAAACTGTTCCACACACACCACAACAAAATGGAATGGTTGAAAGAATGAATAGAACTGTGTTGAATAAAGTTAGATGCATACTATTAAGCTCTAGACTACTCAAAAATGTTTTAGGGTGAAGCAGTTAAAACTGCAGCTTATTTGATTAATAGGAGTCCTACTAGTGCTCTAAACTTTGCCGTTCTTGAATATGTGTGGTCAAATAGTCCTATAAACTACTCTTATCCGAAAATATTTGGCTGTGCTGCTTATGCTCATCAAAATGTTGGTAAATTAGAACCAAGATCATTAAAGTGTGTTTTCTTGGGTTATGATGAACATGTTAAAGGGTACAGATTATGGGTTAAATCTAAAAAAGGTTATAGAGTAATAATTAGAAAGGATGTAGTCTTCAATGAATCCTTGATGCCATGTCTTGAAGGAAAAGAAAATACTTTGACTGAAAAAGATGTTCAAATCGAGGTGGACCCTTCCTACAGTAACCATAACATTTCTGTAACTATTGCAAAAGAAAATGAAAATGAAGAACATGTTATTTTACCTGAAACTGAACATGTTGAAGATGTTGATTCTGCAACTCTCTCCTTTGATGAGTATCAACTCACAAGAGATAGGGAGAGGAGGCAAATCAGACCCTCCACTAAATTTGATAGTGACACCTTTGTATCCTTATTTACCTACCAAGACCTTACTGAAAATGAGCCAAACTCTTTTGAAGAAGCCATGAAATGTAAAGAAAGAAAAAATTGGAAGATGAAATGTCTTCACTCCTTAAAAATAAGACATGGATATTAGTTGATAAGCCCAAAAGACAAAAATTAATTGATTGCAAGTGGATTTATAAGATAAAATATGGAGAAGGTGATGATAAAAATATTAGATATAAAGCTAGACTTGTAGCAAAGGGTTTCATACAAAAAGAAGGTGTGGATTATACTGAAATTTTTTCTTCTGTTGCTAAGTATGTTACTATCAGATGTCTACTTGTACTTGTTACACAATTTAAATGGAAACTTGATCAACTACATGTTAAAGCTGCTTTCCTGTATGGGAATTAGATGAAATAATATACATGAGACAACCAATTGATTTTGAGAAAGGTGATCTTGAAAACACTATTCGTTTGTCAAAGAAATTCTTGTATGGCCTAAAGCAGACACCTAGGCAGTGGTACAAAGGATTTGACACTTTTGTCTTGAAACTTGGATTTAAAAGAAGCCAATATGATACTTGCTTGTACTGCAAAGGTAGTGGAGTTAAAAACTCATTATATTTGATCCTCTATGTGGATGATATGTTGTTAGCTAGTTCTGATAAATCAAAAATTGATGACATTAAATCAAAGATAAGTTCTGAGTTTGATATGAAAGACCTTGGTGCTGCTAAAAGAATATTAGGCATGCAGATTTGGAGAAACAAGGATAAAAATATGTTGTTTTTAAATCAATGTGACTATGTGTCTAAAATCTTGAAAAAATTCAACATGCATGATCGTAAACCTGTAACACTGCCTCTTGCTAGTCATTTTAGATTGTATTCTGAATTTTGTCCTAAATCTGAAAATGAATATGGCAGAATGTCAAAAATTCCATATGCTAATGTAATTGACTCTTTGATGTATTTGATGATATGCACCAGACCTGATCTTGCATATAGTATTAGCATTTTAAGTAGGTTTATGAGTAACCCTGGTGAAGAACATTGGTATTACTTAAAATGGTTATTGAGATATCTTAAGGGATCATTAAATTTAGGCTTAATGTTTAAATCAAATAAAAATGGAATAAGTTTAAAAGGGTATACTAATTCTGATTTTGCTAGCAATAGAGATAATAGAAAGTCAACCTCATCTTATTTTTATACACTGTGTGGTACTGCCATCAGTTGGAAATCTCACCTCCAGAAAGTTGTGGCTTTGTCCTCAACTGAGGCAGAATATATAGCTGCAACTAATGCTGTTAAAGAAGGAATATGGTTGAATGGTTTATTGTCTGAAATGGGTTTCAATGATAACAACATTGTGCTATTTTTTGATAACTAAAGTGCTATTCACCTAAGTAAAAATCCCATGTTCCATGATAGGTCAAAACATATTGATGTTAAATACCTTTTTATGAGAGATATAATCTCAAAATGAGAAATTAAGATTGAAAAAGTATCTACTCAATTTAATCTATCTGAAATGGGTACAAAAGTAATTCCTTTAAACAAGTTCTTAAACTGCTTGAAACTTTTAACTGTTGATTCTTCGTGATTCATATACAGGTACTTGGAGCAAATGAAAAAGACGTAAGATCATGCTCCTGGATGCACTAATAGCTCAAATTCTGGCAACAAGGTGGAGATTGTTGGAGTTGAACCCTGTTCTCCTCAATTTAATGCTTCCAGAATTTGATTTGTGATAAAATCGTGTTTTTATCAAACATGATTTAATAAGTGTTGACACTTTACTGGATGGCCAACACGTGGACTATCACTTGACGTTGGATTAAATCGGTTCATATGCCCTTTGTTAAAGCGATAGAGCCTTCTGGAATGGCAGACACAACCCTTCATCTTGCTCTTAACTCTAGGGTTTTCAGAGAGAAAAATATTGGCGATTTGAGAGATGTTGATTTTCTTTGAGTGTTTTATGTGTAAAATCTCTGATTTTACATAGAGTATAGTGAGATCTTCATTCGATTGTTGTATTATGTGTGAATGGTGAAGAAATATGAGTGATTTCTCTGTTGTATCATTTTGGTGGTGTTTAAAGGTTTTGTGGGCTAAAATTTGAGTGAATCTCTGTAGATCCATTGCTATACTTGAGAGATAAGTCTCATTTTCATTTCTTTGAACAATCTGTAAATCTGTTGCCATTTTTGACTATTTAGTACAACCGAGCATAATCCAAATCTTTGGATGCTCAACGGGGGATATAGGCGTTAGATGTGGTCGTCGAACCTCGGGGGCTTAGGTCGAAATAATTCCTTTGTGTTCCTTTAATTTTCTACAACTTTATTTCTGTTCGATTGAGGTTTTCTTGTTTCTTGATTTTAATATCGTGCGGTCCTGACTTTACACTTGAGAAACCATGCACTTCTCTTTCCAGCAATCATGAAGCCAATTTACGGTGACAATTGGAAAAGATATACATGCTCTCAAGTCATAAGAATTCATGGCATAGTTAAATTCGCTTCCATTTTAAGCAGAATTTCTTCTAAAACTTTGGAAAAACTTTTGCATTAAATTGCTCTCACTTTCAATTTTTGTTTCTTCCCACACCAGTGGATTAACACTCGTCGACGGAACATGGCTATCTATACAGACCATAGTTCTGGTTACGTTGTGGAAGCTACAATATTGCCAATTGCGAAAATTTGTGATGTTCGGGATCATTCCTTTAATCCTTTAACATAGAGATTGATACGGTAGTCCTTTTTAAGTGTTAGTAGTTCCCATATGAAATAGTTAAGGAGAGAACCACCGTGCCCTCCTGACGGTGTAGGGTGGTTCCGCCGTTCCGATGACCAATTGTTGTCTGCAAAAGTGAGGTCGGGGCTTTCTCCCCCGTTGTACCTCCGATGTGAGAATTAATATCGGATTATGGGGAGTTAGAAAAGGAAAAAAGAGATATTCAGATAACTGAAGTTTTTTCCAAGATCCTTACCTATTTCGCCTTTTGGAGTATTTATAGGCGATTGGAGTCATGTGAAGGACGGGCGGTTATGGTGCCATGTGTCCCACGTAACCTCTTCCACTGTCCCCACGTTCTTAGTGGGTAACCTCCGCCCGTTCAACTGCTAGTCATGTTCGTAACAATCGTCGCGTGATCTTTACCCAAATCATGTTTTTTGGCTAAGTGTTGTATTGACCGCGTAGTAGTAATGAGCCTCATGGTGGTCGATGGCCAGCTAGGATGTAGAGTACCCATGGCGGTCGACGTCCCGGCATAGGTGTAAAGTGCCCATGGGAGTCGACACCCGACATGGGCGTAGAGCGCCTAGGGGGTCAATGTCTGGCATGGGCGTAGAACGCCTAGTGGTCGATGTCCCGGCATGGGCATAGAGCTCCCATGGGGGTCGACGTCTTAGCATGGGTGTTGTATGCCCACAGGTGGTGTGGGCTAGTGGCGGAACCCATAACTTGTCAGTTGTTGTAGGTAATTACCAATGTCCAATATCATTAGCCCCGCTACCTCTTGTCGATATTTCTCGGTAAGGGGTAGCATCTATTCTCACTTCCCATGCCTTTGATAGCAATTTTTTTTACTTAATACTCGACCATAGTTGGTTCAATATGAATGGGTCGAGCAGTCTAGGTGGCGTTGGGTAGTGACAACCCTACACATGACATTTCTCAAGTGAGCTTGGTACTTTTGGGGGGAAACTTCCCTTCAAAATTTTCAAAATATTTGGCTATATAAGAGGGAAAGCCTCCCTCATTCTCACTTCTCCCTTCAAAAATCCTTTGTCATGTAGAGTACCCATGGCGGTCGACGTCCCGGCATAGGTGTAAAGTGCCCATGGGAGTCGACACCCGACATGGGCGTAGAGCGCCTAGGGGGTCAATGTCTGGCATGGGCGTAGAACGCCTAGTGGTCGATGTCCCGGCATGGGCATAGAGCTCCCATGGGGGTCGACGTCTTAGCATGGGTGTTGTATGCCCACAGGTGGTGTGGGCTAGTGGCGGAACCCATAACTTGTCAGTTGTTGTAGGTAATTACCAATGTCCAATATCATTAGCCCCGCTACCTCTTGTCGATATTTCTCGGTAAGGGGTAGCATCTATTCTCACTTCCCATGCCTTTGATAGCAATTTTTTTTACTTAATACTCGACCATAGTTGGTTCAATATGAATGGGTCGAGCAGTCTAGGTGGCGTTGGGTAGTGACAACCCTACACATGGCATTTCTCAAGTGGACTTGGTACTTTTGGACCCTCCAAAATTTTTGGTTATATAAGAGGAGGAGCCTCCCTCATTCTTACCTCTCCTTTCAAAAATTCTTAGTCTTCAATAGTAAGGTACTCCTCTCATCCTCTCTTTTTATTCCAAGTTTTTTTTTTTTTTTTGTCTTTCTTCTTGCTTTGTACAAAACCATTATCACTTCCTCTTCCGATGAAAGTGAAAACGAGGGGGTGAATGTGTCGTCCGACCCATTATGTGTTGGCCGCCGACCCTATCGACCGGCACTGTTGACCAGCACTACTGGTCAATCGATGAACTATGCTGGTCGACCATCGACCAGCCAAAAGGCTGGTTGACTGTCATTGACCGGCCTCACGGCTGGTCGGCCTTCGACCAGTCTCGTCGCGAGTTTCCCCTATAGTCGGTCGATCCCCCAATGATTCCGATAGTCATACCCATTCATATGAAATTTTAGCATTCTAACTGTCATCCCCAAAAAGACATATTGGTTCAACGAAGCTTTCGAACTTAAATTTAGAAATTGGGCCAGACGCAACGAGTGAGATTTTTGTCCTTGAAATTCCAAAGTGTTATAGTCTTTACGACTCTCCACTTAAGTTAGAGAAGTGCCTCAACATGTTCGATCGAATTGATGATTATATTTATAAAGGCCCTAGGCCTAAAAAGACGCTTTCCAAGTCCGACGCCCGTGAGATAGCAGTGTATAAAGATATCATGGATGGGGGTTTTCGATTTCCCATTCATCCTTTCTTCGTCTCAATTTTTAATGAGTTCCACCTCACCCCTAGTCAGATAAACCCCAATGCATGGAGAAAAGCGATGTACTTTTTGTATGTCTGCCTTAGTAAGAAAATTTCACTCTCTATAGACCTTTTCAGGTGCGTTTTTGAAATGCATGAACTAGTTCAATATAATGCCTTCGTCTACCTTACTGCTATGGTTCCTTTGCGCTTTCCTAAATTTAGAAATTCCAACAGCGAGTGGAAATCCCAGTTCTTCTTTAATCGACCGTCAGAGGGTCAATTTACTTTTAATACTAATTGGAGACATCATCAAATCCGTCTTTTCAACAGTCAAGTAGAGGTACTTCTCTCCTAAGAGCTCAAATCCAACATGTGACCAATACACCTCCTCTTGCACCCAACCTAGGGTCAGTCTTGACTATGAGGAACATGTTGATCATGGGGATCTATCGACCTACTGGTAGGTTCTCTTTCCTTGCTTTCTCTTTTATACTCACATATGTTTTTTTACTTACTATACATTTTTTTTGAGTTAGCAAATTTCATTACATGTTTGCAGGCATAGATTTCGACTTAGAAAAGGTGTTGAAAAGCCTGCCCGTGCCTGGGAGTGATGAGGGCTTCGTTCCTGCTGATGGTAAGCTTTTGAATATGTAGTTCTTTTACTTAGTATGTGAACGTGCCCCCTATTCACTTCTCTTTATTTTTCTATGGATTTTGGTTTGGGTGTTAGGTAAAGAGTTTGACTTGGAAGAGGCTATGGATTCCATGTCCGGGCTGGGGCTCGAGAGCGACGTGGACCTGAGTCCTGTCCCTTTGAAGAGAAAGAAAACAGCCCCCCGAGAGGCGAGGGACCGTGCTACAAAGGGGATTTCCCAACCTTCAGATAAGCCCGCCGAAGTTGTTTAGCCATTGGGGTCAAAGGGTGGCAACTTGAGCCGTGCTAGGTGTGAGTGCGAGAGTTCTTTTCCCAACTTTGGTTTTCCCCCCACTCGGGGTCATCATGAGATGGGGGTGTTACAATCCTTGGTGACACCTACTAGGACTAGGGCAATTGCCGGGCGTAGTGCTAACGATATTGAGAGAGCCTTGGCTGTCTATACTCAGAGGGTAAGTTTCTTGTCACTTTTTCTCCTAAGAGTTTGACTTATTTTTTCCAACTTACCTAACACTTGCCTCCCATTTCATCCCTTTGTCTATTAGGTTGTGGCCTTGTATACTAGGCTTGTTGAGTCGAGCCTCCGCCAAGCGTCGAAGTTGAAAGCCCTCTCGGAAGACAAGAAAAAATAGGTTCATCATTTTAGGAAGAAAAATTCCTCCTTGAGGAAGTCCGTCGAGACCTTGGAGGCTCGTGCTCACGAGCAAGAGACTGAAATTGATAATTTGCGATCCATTTTGGCCTGAGCATCGGAGGAGGCAGTGGGGTGATACAAGGCCTCCGTCGAGTACACTAAGGACTCAGAGGCATCTATAGAGCAGTATAAGTCATCGTCGGATTTTGCCAAAGTTCTTCATTCATACGGAGAAAAGGCGATAGCTACGTCCATCAAGTTGTCGAAGGAGTGGATATCTGTCTAGCACCTTTCTATTGATCCGTTGAGTTTGGACAGATTTTTAGTGCAACGCAAAGGCCGAAATGGCGGAGCCCCTCAGTCTTAGACCCTCGGACACATATCGCGGGGTGCGAGCGAAGGGACCTCTCACTCGAGTTGAGTCATTTTTCATCTGAAGATCTCTTAGCTATTTCCGTAGCCGCTCATTTTTGTTAGTTTTTTGCTTCCTACCAGTCCAGGATGTGGACTGAAAATCACTTCGTATTTTGCATTTGGTTGCTTCTTTGTTGAATGCTATGGGCTTACCGATTCGGGATATGGACGGGAAGTTATATTTCACTTTGTGTATGGAAACCTTCTTATTGAACGTTGTTATTGTTCAACTCTTTTTTGTATTTTAAATACTAATTTTTATCCGCTTGTTTGGGGTTATGTCGATCCGTTGAGTGCATGGTCTAGCGGCTTAAGGCCTTAACCAATTTTTTTGTTTTTATGGCTCTCAACATATCCCTTTGGGCTATGTCGACCGTCGAGTGCATGGTCTAGCGGTTTAGGGCCTTAATCAAATTTTTGATTTTTATGGCTCTCCGCTTAGCCTTTTGGGCTATGTCATCTGTTGAGCGCGTGGTCTAGCGGTTTAGGGCCTTAACCGAATTTTTGACTTTTATGGCTCTTCGCCTAGCCCCCGGGCTATGTCGATCGTCGAGCGTGTGGTCTAGCAGTTTAGGATCTTAAACAAATTTTTGGTTTTGATGGCTCTCCACCTAGCCCTTTGGGCTATGCCGACCGTCGATTGTGGAGTCTAGTGGTTTAGGGCCTTAACCAAATTTTTGATTTTGATGGCTCTTCGCTAGCCCCTGGGCTATACCGACCGTCGATCGTGGGGTCTAACGGTTTAGGGCCTTAACCAAATTTTTTATTTTTATGGCTCTTCACCTAGCCCCTTGGGCTATGTCGTCTATTAAGCACGTGGTCTAGTAGTTTAGGGCCTTAACCAAATTTTTGGTTTTCGTGGCTCTCCGCCTAGCCCCCTTGGCTATGTCGACCGTCGAGCGCATGGTCTAGCGGTTTAGGGCCTTAACCAAAATTTTGATTTTGATGACTTTCCGCCTAACCCCTTGGGCTATGACAACCGTCGATTGTGGGGTCTAGCGATTTAGGGCCTTAACCAAATTTTTGATTTTTATGACTGTCCGCTAGGAACGAAAAACATTGTCGAGCTGTCGTGGGGGGCTAAAGCTGCATATAAACATATAAATTGCCTGGTTTAGGGAGCTCAGGAGGAGCACCGGGACATCCCAACTAGGCTAGCCTTTCCTTAGCGCCCTCATCATCTGCCACCTCCGGGGCCTTTCATTGAATATTATGAATAATTGCAATAGATAGTGCCTATAACATGCCTTACATTAAGGGAACGATTAAACCAACCTATCTACTGTATTTACAAAGGGAACAACCTATCTTTCTGATTTGCGGGTCTACTAATAGTACTTTTTGAGATGTTCCACATTCCATGGCCTACCCAATGGCTTCCCTTTCATAGCTTTCAGACTATAGGCTCCTTTTTCGAGGCTGCGGATTACTTCATATGGCCTTTCCCAATTCGGCCCAAGCTTCGATAGGGATGTCCTGTTGTGACTACATCTCTTAGTACTAGATCTCCTGGTTGAAAAACTCTAGATCTTACCCTTCGGTTGAAATATTCAGCGACCCTTCGCTTATATGCTAACATCCTTATCGCTGCCCTTTCTCTAGCCCCTTCGAGTAAGTCGAGTTCCGCCCTGGTGACTGCAACGTCAAGCTACTTGATTTTCATTCGACCAGTCTCACTCAAAATTTCAACAGGGACAACTGCCTCCATCCCGAATGACAACTTAAAAGGTTATTCACCAGTCGATTCTCGTGAGGTCGTGTGATACGCCCATAGTACATTGGGCAACTCGTCCGTCCAAAGTCCTTTCTCCTTTTCCAACCTTGTCTTCAGATCCCATAATATGGTTCGATTGGTCACTTCAGCCTGTCCATTTAACTGAGGGTGAGCGACTGAAATTAACCTGTGATCGATGTGGTAGCTTGTGCAGAAGGCTCTAAATTTGTGATTGTCGAATTGTTTGCCATTATATGTAATAACTACTCTGGGTATGCCAAACCTACACATTATATTTTTCCAGACGAAACCTTGCACCTTTGTTGTTGTGATGGTGGCCAAGGGCTCAGCCTCCGCCCACTTAGTGAAGTAGTTTATGGCAACTAGCAAGAACTTCCTTTGCCCCTTGGCTAGGGGCAAAGGCCCCAAGATGTCCATCCCCCATTGGAAGAAAGGCACACCCCAAAAACTGTCGTCTGCTTCTTGATTGGAATGTGGATCAAATTTCCATGGCGTTGACATGCATCGCACTTCCTCACCAACTCCTTAGCATCTTCCTTCATGCTAGGCCAATAATATCCTTGTCGTAGTGCCTTGAACGCAAGGGCGATTACCCTTTGGTGATTGCCACAAGTTCCTGCATGTATCTTGACTAGCACATCCCATGCTTCTGTAGGTCGCAAACATTTCAAATACGGCATTGTGAAACCTCGCTTGTAAAGTAGTCCGTCGATGATAGCGAAAGAGGCTGCCCGAGCCCTTAGCCTTCTTGCCGCGAAAGCATCTTCTGGTAGCTTGTCCTTTGTGAGATATTCAATCAATGGGTCCATCCAACTTTCCCCATGCTCGACATTTACAACATCGACCGCATGCTGGATGCTAGGTCATAGTAAGATTTGCATGTTTGCTGTGCGAGACAGATGTCTGGGGTTAGCGGATGCAAGCTTAGCCAATGTGTCCACCGGCTAATTGTCTTTTCGAGGGACCTTTGTTATTTTAGACTTGGCGAACCCCTTCTGCAAATTTTTGACCTCCATTAAATATGCTGCCATCTTTCCGTCTTTTGCTTCGAGTTTCTCTGTCACTTGCCCGACTATCAACTGAGAGTCATTGCAAATTTCTACTGAAGTTACCCTAAGTCTAGTTGCTAAACCCATGATCACCGCCTCGTACTCGGCATCATTATTTGTGGTTGGAAATTCGAAACGTAGCGAGTATTCCAACTCTTCACCATTTGGTCCTATTATTATGATCCCCACCATGGATCCCTCATCGTTCGAAGATCCATCCACAAAAATTTTCCAATCTGCTTGTTCCCCCGGCAGGTGCTCAAGTGGGATGGTGAGCTCAGGGATGAAGTCTCCTAGAGCTTGCACCTTAATAGCCGTCCTTGGCCTAAACTTAATATCAAACTCACTTAACTCGATTGCCCATTTCAACAACCTCGCAGAAGTTTTTAGTTGATGCAGGATCTGCTTGATAGGTTTGTTGGTCATTACTTGCACCGCGTGAGATTGAGAGTATGGTCTCAGCTTTCTAACCATGACCATTAATGCAAACACTAGCTATTTAGCCAGGCTGTATCTTACCTCTGGGCCCCTCAATACTTGGCTCACATAGTAGACCAATTTTTGCTCCTTTGAAAATTCTTTCACCGGCACCGTGCTGACTACCCGTGGTGAGACTGCCAAGTAGAGACACAACACGTCCCCGGGGCATGGACTAGTCAAGATCGGGGGCTCTTGTAATGATTGCTTCGGGCACCTAAGTGACTCTTCACATTCCTGGGTCCCCTCAAAATTAGAGGAACCCTCTATAGCCTTGAAGAAGTGGTAGCATTTGTTCGCGGCCCGGCTCATGAAACGATTTAAAGCGGCTATCCGCCCTGTTAGTCTTTGGACCTCCTTCCTACTGGTGGGACTTTTTATTTTCAGTATTGCCTGAATTTTATCCGGGTTCACTTCGATGGCCCTTTGCGTGATCATAAAGCCTAGGAATTTTCCTCCTGCAGTACCAAAAACACACTTCTCTGGATTGAACCTCAATCTATTTTGTTGGGCAACATCATACACTTTCTACAAACTGGCGACATGGTCATCAGCCTTGGTACTCTTGACCACCATGTCGTCAACATAGGCCTCTACAACATCCCTGATCGACCCACGAAAGATTTTGTTCACCATCCTCTGATAAGTTACCCCGGTGTTTTTTAAACCGAATGGCATGGCTATATAATAATATGTGCCAAAATTTGTGATAAATGACGTCTTCTCCTGATTGGAATCGGCCATTGAAATTTGATGGTACACGAAAAATGTATCTAGAAAGCTAAGCCTTTCATGACCCAATGTAGCGTCTACCAGGTGATCTATCCTAGGAAGCGGGTATGAGTCTTTTGGGCATACCTTGTTCAACCTAGTATAATCTACACACATGCGCCACTTTCCATTTGACTTCTTCACAAGTACGATGTTTGCCAACCACTCGGGGTATTGCACTTCTCGAATAAAACCCGCCTGTAGCAATTTTTCTACCTCTGCTTTGGCTGCGGCTTGCCTCTCTAGGGCAAGATTTCTTTTTTCTGATTTACTGGCTTAGCCCTTGGTTGGACTCTAAGACGGTGTTGTGCGACGGTGGGGCTAATCCCTAGGATGTCTTCTGGGCCCCAAGCGAAAATATCCAAGTTACTGGCTAGACATTTTGTCAATTTTTCCTTCTCCTCGGATCCCAGACCTATTCCAACACTAAAATCCCGTCCCTCGGCTATAAAGATTTTTTCAGTCATATCGAGCGGTTCGATCCGTTGCCTTGGGAGTTCCACATCCAGCATCATGATTGGTGGTGAGCCTTTAGCCTGTATACTATCCACATAGCATTTCCTTGATGTATGCTGGTCCCCTCGCACGCAACTAACTCCCCTGCTAGTTGGGAACTTCATAACCTGATGGTAGGTTGATGGGATAGCACCAGCTGCGTTTAGCAATAGCTGGCCATAGATGGCATTGTAGGCCATGGGGTCTTGACAACCAAGAAGTTAGTCACAATCACCATTGTCGCTGGATACGTGTCTAGCGTAACTGGAAGCTCCACAGTTCCTTCCGATATCACTGTTGCTCCTCCAAAGCCTTGTAGAGGGGTAGTCACCATCGTTAACTTCTCGGGGGGAATTTTTAGACCCAAGAAGGCATTCCAGGTGAGGACGTTCGCCGCACTTCCCCCGTCAACTAGTACCCTCTTCACGTCAAAATCCGCTATATCGCCTACTATCACTAAGGCGTCATCATAGAGATGCGTTATACCGATCAAGTCCTTTTCGTCGAAAGTAATGCTCTGGTTGAACCTTGCTTTTTTCTGGATAGAGCAGACCCCCACAGAACGCGAATAGCTCTTCCCAGCAAAATTTGAGTCATCGCCAGATGCTACGCCACCGATGATCATTTTTATCACTCTTACCCTTGGCGGGGGTCGATCCTCGAGCCTTTGCTTGCCCCTATCATTTTTTAAATACTTAGCCAATAGTCCCCGCCTTAGTAGGTGCTCAATTTCCTTCTTCAACTGCAGACATTCTTCGGTATCATGTCCGTGATCTTTTTGAAAATGGTAATACTTACTTTGATTTCTCTTGCTGGAGGGAGTTAGCATCGGTTTAGGCCATTCGAGCTCTTTTATGTGCTGTATTTCCATTAATAACTTTGTACGTGGGATGTTCAAATGGGTGGGTGCTTATACCTCCTCTCGCTTCTACTTAACTGACCGGTCCTAGGTATAACCCTTGTTCATGCATTCATTCTTCGGCTTATTCTTATTAGCGTGCCTTCGCTCATCATTTGTCTTTTGCTTATGAGCTTCCTCTCCCATCCATCCCTAAGACTTTTAGTTACCTTCTTCGCTTCCTTCGTATTGACGTACTTGTCTCCCTTCTTCAACAGGTTGTGCATCGACTCCAGAGAATTCTTGGAGAGTGACATCTTAAAGGCCCGATTTCACGTTCCATTCATCAAGGTGGTAACCACTGTGGACATTTGCAAGTCCTTTATGCCAAGAGTCACCCGGCTAAACCTAGCCAAGTATTCCTGCAATGACTCATCCTTCTCCTGTACGACCTGCATCAACTCAATGGTCGTCTTCCCCTTCCTCTTACTACTTAGGAAGTAAGCAACAAAACTCCTGGAGAGCTCATCAAACGTCTTGATAGACCGCGGGGCCAAGTTTGCTACCCAGTCCCTGGCCTCCTTCCTGAGTGTGGGGGGAAAGGACCGGTACATCACTGCGTTCGGGGCCGCGTAACGTCTCATCAGATCTACAAAGGTCCACAAGTGGTCAAGCAGATCCGTGACTTCGTCATATACTTCTATCATGGGCTGTTTAAAGCCTTTAGGTAAGGAGACTACCATGACCTCAGGTGCAAACGGGCTTCCTCCAAAACCATCTGCCTCTACTTATCCTTCCTCTTGGATAGTGCATCATCCATCTTTTGGGCTACGATTTCTTCCATCTTTTCTTACAGATCCACCATGGCCTACGGGGGCTGCTGAGCTACGACCACTGAAGCCCCCGAAGCTCCCATTACCAGCCGAGCGATGGGTAGAACAACCGCGTGTGGCGCTTGAGGCGGCTGCTGGTTTGTCGCTTCCGTCAAGCTCAATGGGGGGACCGCAGCTCTCTGCGACTGATCTTGTAAGAGCGTCATCATTGTTTCCAACTGAGTCTCCAAAGCGCTGAATTGATGATAAGAGTGTAAAATACCATATTTTCCCTCTTAATTATTGCATTCGTGTGATTATATTATGCCAAAATGCACTTGTTACTCTTATGTTTTGGTTTAGGTTGCATCTTGGTGAAAACAGTGAAATTTGGAAGAAACAAATGAAAAAGGACTAAAGCCAGAAGAAGTGAAAGTTCAAGGACCAAGTTGCAAATAATTCATAGATGAGACGGGCGATGGAATGATGATTTGAGAAATTTAGGAGTCCATTGGTGCAATTAGAAATCAAAAGAAGTTAAATATGCCTATAATATTTTCACAAATCAAATTCCAACCGGATATAAGGATTTTCAGATTTTGAGCCAAAAATTGAGATCAACGTTTGACCTAGTAAACGTCCGAATTTGGAAAGAGCTATTTCTATCAAGATTGTAGTAATTTGAGTTAGATTTCCAATGAAACTTGAATCACCTCACTCAGATATCGGGAGAGAAATTTATGACTAAAATACTGAAAGTAGTCGCACAGAAAATTCTGGCCGAAAATTTACTTTCCTTATTCAGTTCAACCTCTTGTGGAAACGGGTTTTGCACACAGTTTTAACCCCAAAAACGTCCCAGAATGCCTCCATTCAGCTTCATACACTTTTCTCTCACCCTTGGCACAAGAAACTCCATGAAGAACTAAAATCTTTGATGAAGCCAAGAATGATCTCGATCGAATTCGGTGATTTCAATATCTTTTCTTTCATATAATGTGATTTTTATTATCGAATAACTTTGGGATTTAGATTTCTTCTTTATTATTATATTTTTGATGTTTGTTTAACTATTATTAAATTTTTCATGAATTCAATTATGTTTTTTTCATTGAATGACTAAAATAATGGTTGAATTTAAATTTCAATTGAATTATTGACGTGATTTGATTACTGCTCTATGCTTAAGGTATATTGTCGCTTCTTGAATCTTGTTTCAATAAATAAATGTGGAATATGTTGTTAGGAATTCTAAATTCCAGGATTGCATGTGAAATTAAATAAATATAGGTTTCCTTTTTGAATTAGTAATTGAAATTGGTTCAATTCTCATTAGATTTTTCATAGAATTAGTCACGCTCTTTCTATCGTTTGATCGAAATATTTCTTGAGTTTCAATTTCATGTATGTCGTTGATGGATTATTTACTTCCATATGCTTGATGTATATGGACGATTTTTAATCTAATTTCAACAGACTAAAGTACGAATATGTTACAGGAACTTTGATTTTAGAGTAAAATGTATGAATGATTAATGTTGATTGATCCAATCCGAGAGAGTGAATTTCGGTGCTTCACGATTTTGAATATTGATATTTAAATCCCACTTCAAATTGAAAACTCACTTCACAAAATCACGAAATCCCAGTTTGTTTGATTTTTTAAAACAATTTTTCATCTCCCTGTGGATATGACACCCCAAAGTTTTACTACAATCACCGCATTATATTTTGGGCGTAATCAATTGACTTTGCGTCACATATTGCAGGGACGGCGGTGGTTTGTGACCCCTTGCAACTGACTCCGACTCCGTCTTCTCCGTATTCCCAACCAAACGAGTATCACTTCTTGTTCGTCTTCTCGACATAGCTTTTTAGTTCAAATTTTCTCACAGACAGCGCCAATGAAATAGTTAAGGAGAGAACCACCGTGCCCTCCTGGCGGTGTAGGGTGCTTCAGCTGTTCCGATGACCAATTGTTATCTGCAAAAGTGAGATCAAAGTTTTCTCCCCCGTTGTACCTCCAACGTGAGAATTAGTATCGAATTATGGAGAGTTAGCAAAGGAAAAAGGAGATATTCAAATAACTGAAGTTTTTTCCAAGATCCTTACCTATTTCGCCTTTTGGAGTATTTATAGGCGAATGGAGTCATATGAAGACCAGGCGGTTATGGTGCCATGTGTCCCACGTAACCTCTTCCACTATTCCCACATTCTTAGTAGGTAACCTCCGCCCGTTCAACTGCTAGTTGTGTTCGTAACAATCGTCGCGTGATCTCTACCCAAATTATGATTTTTGACTCAGTGTTGCATTGACCACATAGTGGTAATGAACCTCATGGTGGTCGATGGCTAGCTAGGATGTAGAGTACCCATAGCGGTTGACGTCCCGACGTAGGTGTAAAGAGTCCATGGGGGACGACGCCGAGCATGGCTGTAGAGCGCCTAGGGGGTCAATGTCTGGCATGGGCGTAGAACGCCTAGGGGATCAATGTCCTGGCATGGGTGTAGAGTGCCCATGGGGGTCGACGTCTTAGCATGGGTATTGTATGCCCATGAGTGGTATAGGCTGGCGGCGGAACCCATATCTTGTCAGTTATTGTTGATAACTAGCGATGTCCAATATCACCGTACGTACCATGATGAGCAATTTCTATATCTAAATGTTTAAGGTAGATTATTGGCAGTCACAAGTTTCTAGGTTAAATAATATGTATATGAAAAATCCTAAAAAAAAGCTTACTTAATAATTGTAAAATGTCTCATATCATCATTGTCTATCATATCGTCATTTATTATCTAATTCAATACACAATGGTGACATGGTTGGATTTATATAAAATGATATATTTTAAGGTTTTGATTGATGTTTTGTCACTTTTTTTAGTGTTTGTCATTTTTTTTTTAATTTTCATTCACTTTCTCGAAATTTCTGTCACTTTTTTTTTTAATTGTTTGTTACCCCCTTTTTTTTAAAAAAAAAAAAAAAGGTTTCTACGGCTTTTTTTAGTGATAAACATAGGTTTTAATTGATACTTTGTCACTTTTTAAAAATTTCTTCACTTTTTTGATTGACAAACATAGATTTTAATTGGTGTTTTGTCATTTTTTTTTTTTTTTTTTTTTAATGCTTGTCACTTTTTTTTTTTTTGTCACTTTTCTGAGTGTGCTACTTTCCTTTTTCTTTTTAAAGAATTGGGATTTAATAATCCCTCAACAATGTTGGCTTAAAGGGAAAGTCACATTATATTTTTCATATGAGATAATAACGGATTTAAATGAAAAGTTTAGTCGCTGCATTAAATTAATTTCAATTGTTGTATATGTGCTTAACATCTTAAATTTGAAATCTCGCATTTATTTAAAAATCGACTTTGATGGACGGTTGAGATGATGCCACCTATTATTGGCTAAACCGTTGGATGCATTGTAGCCTTTTATATTCCATCTCTCTCATTTGGTAGAGTCCGAGATTCTTCTAGGGTTATATTCTCTCTTTCGTCTTTGAAATTTTCTCTTTTAAAACCTTTGGCCTTCATCTGTAATCTTGAGTTCTTTGGTTTTCTTGGTGATGTCCAGTGTAGATTACATTATGGTTAGAGTTTTATTGTTCTTTGGTGAACTACAACTCTTGATTACTTGGTGTAATTTGTAAATGAGAGAAAAGAGTGAGAGTTGAGGCTGAGGGTTAGGGTTAGGAGTCGAGTGATTCTTGAGCCTTTGATTCTTGTAACTTGACACACTTTGTTGGATTCTAGTGGATTAAAACGTTAACCACTTAGGTGGATGCTCAACGTGGTGAGTAATCCATTCTTGGGTAAACTATCGGGCCTAGGGGTGTAAAATCCTTGTGTTCTTTGTATTAGATTTGTTCGATTTAATTTTGGGATTGTAATTAAGATACCAACATCAATGTTTTAATTAGTGTTTTGTCACTTTTTTTTTGAATTTTTATCATTTTTTTGAATGTTTGTCACTTTTCTTTTCTTTTCTTTTCTTTTTCTTTTTTTTTTTTAATTTTCATCACTATTTATTTTTTAATTTTTAGTTACACTTTTGTCACTTTTTAATAAAAGTGACATTGTATGTCATATTTGATTAAAAAAAAGTGACATTTAACTTTAAAAAGTAATATTGTGTCGCTTTTTATTACATAATTTTGCAAAGCATTTTGTTATTTCGAAAATACTTTTCAAAAGATCCGTAATTTTAGGAGTGATTTTGTAAGTTGCCCTAACTAAAATCAATTGTCATTGTCTCAATATATGCGTGTCAAGTTACAAGTGGCAAGAGTTGCAGTTAGCACAATATCTACCATTGCTCTTGTTTCCTGAAATTTTGTTTTAGACTCTACGTTGGTCAAAATAATAATAATAATAATAATAATAATAATAATTAAATTAACCAAATATTTCATTAAATCTTTAATTTTTATTTATTTTTAATTACACATTTCATAAGATTCATCAACTTATAATCTCAAAAAACTTTATTAAATGGACACT